AGGAAGAAATCAAAGAGAAAAGCAAGTCCTAGATAGAAATGAGCATAAACTCTTCAGAGACAAAAGAGGTAATAAAGGTGGAAGAATGTAAAATATCAGTGTAAGAGTAAAAAAATACTATGGCCTTGGTGGTTATGTTAGTAGAGTGATTATCTTATACTCATATTCAGAAAGGAGACTGAAGCTCTAAAATGATAGACACTAATATAGTCAAAGAGAAATAAATCAAAAGAGAACATGTTTAACAAGGTATATGAATATAGAATCAGTACACAAGGGGCACCTGGGTGGCTTAGTTGGTTAAATGTCTTCCTTCGGCTCAGGTCAAGATCCCAGCATCCTGGGATTAAGCCTCGGGTCAGGCTCCCTACTCAGTGAGGAGTCTACTTCTCCCTCTCCCTCAGCCCCTCCACTTACTTATGCTCTCTCTCTCTCTCAAAAAAAAAAAAAAATTAAAAAGAATCAGTACACAAAAGTAAATTTACTTAAATATCAGCAAAAACAGATAGAAAAGGGAATTTTAAAAGTGATACCAGCTATAATTGTTATAAAAATACCTAGAAATAAATCTAGTAAAAGATGTCTAAGACCTCAATGTTAATGTTAAACACTATGATATATTATTGAAAGAAATTGAAAAAAATCTAAATAAATAGACATTGCATGCTCATGGGTTAGAAATTTCAGATTATAAAGATGTCAATATTCTAAATCAACCTGTTGTTTCATTACAATATCTCAATAGGTTTTGTGATTGTAGAAAATGACAAGTAGATTTTTAAAATTCATATGGAGATGCAAAACGCCAAGAATAGCAGGATGCCCGGATGGCTCAGTGGTTGAGCCTCTGCCTTTGGCTCAGGGTGTGATCCTGGGGTCCTGGATCAAGTCCTACACTGGGCTCCCTGCATGGAGTTTGTTTCTCCCTCTGCCTATGTATCTGCCTCTCTCTGTGTCTCTTCTGAATAAATAGACAAAATCTTTAAAAACAAAACAAAAAAAATAAAAAGCCAAGACTAGCAAAGGCAATCTTGAAGAATAATAGTGGAGGACTTGCACTACCCAATATAAAACCTATTATAAAACTTGTAATTAGAGTTGAATCAACACAATATGGCAACAAATGGAACAAAACAGAGCACCTGCTGAGACATCATTAATGACAAAGTTGACAATGCAGTGCAGCAGGGGAAATGATGGCATTTTCAATAAACACCACATCTGGATATCCATATGGGAAAAAAATTAATTTTAACCCTATGTTAAGTATCTTACAACTCTTATGTTACATATCTTACACCATACATAAAAAACAATTCTGTATAGTTTAAGGATCTGTTGGTTTTTTTTTTTTTTTAAATAAAGCTTTTAGAGGAAAACATCTTTATGTTCTCCGTGGAGTATGCTAAGATTTCTCAAATAAGACATAAAATATGGTTACTATAAAAGAAAACCAATTGATATTTTGGACAGTATTAAAATTAAGAACTTCCATTCACCAAAATATATGTTAAGAGTGAAAAGACAAATTACGGAGTGGGAGAAAATATTCATATTACAAACATCTGTCAAAGGGTTTGTGGCCAGACAAATAATTTCAAAATATCAGTAACAAAAAGATGCATTTCCAGGTTGTTGAGAGTTTCCTGTTATAAATAATATAGTCCTAATAATTTTGTATATAAGTCAAATGTATTAGAAGGATAAATATCTAGAATTCAGATTGCCAAGACAAAAGCATATGTTTTTAGAATTTTTAGAACTGCCTATACATTTCCTTTGTTCATTTTTTTCCTTTGTTCATTTTCTTAGTGAGTTGTTTCTCCCCTTCTTGTAAGTTTATAAAATCTGTATTATTGATATTAATGCTGTCATTGCGCTGCAAATATTTTTTTCAATGACCTTGTATTTGGACTTTTAAAATTAAATATAACTTAAAATGCACAAATCTTAAGTGTAAAACTCCATTTTATTACTTGTGCAATTCACACAACCATCACCCAGATAAGATAAAATATATGTAATATATTTCTAGCACCTCAGTGCTGAAATCCTTCAGAGAATGATACTTGCTGCTTCCCTTTGTCTCCCAAACTGTATCCCTCAAGGTAATCACTTTTCTGACTTCTATCACCATAGATTTGTTTTGTTATGAATTTAAAATAAATGGAATAATATTGTTCGTATTCTTTGTGTTTGGTTTTTTTGCTCAACACTATGTCTGTGAGATTCATCTATTTTATTGTCTGTAACAAGACTTTTTTTTCCCCTGTTGTTCAGTAGAATTCACTATGTAAATATGCCACAATTTATTTCCCCATTCTTTTGTTGATGGACATTTGAATTGTTTCCAGTTTCAGGGTTGTTTATTGTCAGCTGGGTTTAAGCTAAGAACTATTTCCAGGAATCATCTTCTCTGGATGGGTGTAGGCTAGAAAAACTTGCGTGAGATTTAGAAGTGGAAGTGAAGCAATATATATTACTGGAGTAGTCAAAGACCAAATATCTTGAACCACTAAGGCTTTGTCCTTTGTTGATGAATCCACGTGTGTAGAGGAGAGAGTTCAAAGGTTAGGCTGTTTTTGTCTTCCCAGATTTTACTTTTTGTCAGGCCCTTTTTCAGTGCCCTGTGCACAAGCACTTAGCTCCAGGGTTAGTTAGGAGTGTATGAACAGCTTGGGGAATCTCTGGTTCCTGCTGTGTATTTGTCTAGCCTCAGCTCAATTGTCATTTCCCCAACAAGGATTACAACCTCAGGCTACTAGGGCTAAGTTCTTGGCTCTTCTCTACTGGTCAGCATCTGAGAGATCATTTCCATGTAAAATGTTGTAGGGCATTTTAGGCATGGCATCCTACTCCTACAAATTGAGTGAGTCTCCTTCATGAAGGCAGAGTAGGAAAACTATCAACCTTTTTAGGATACATTTTTATGATATTTTTCCTATTCTTGAGTTCTTAATCTTGACTCATCTCAATAAATTGGAAAGTACTAAAGAAATTATTATAGGAATGATATGTGAATTATATAATTCCTGAATTCTGACATGTCTAAGAATGTCTTATCAAACTACAGATGACATTTAATGTATACACTATAGGTCACACTTATATCCTTGTACAGATGCAGCTTTCCTAACTTTAGTGCTTTTGTAGTGTTACGGAATGGTTCAATCCCATTGGTTTTTGTTCCTTTGTAGCAACTTACTTTTCCTACTTGTAAATATATAACATCATCATTTTCATCAAACCATTCATAACAGGTAAAGTAAAATGATATACACTTATATTCATCCTTAATCAGTATAGAGAATGATACTCTAAGTATTCAGACTTTAAGAGTATGTTTCATTTATGGGGGAAATGATGAGGAAAAGGATGAGCTGTTTTGATTGTAAGAGGTATAGTTTAAGAACATAATGTTATGTAGCTGGCATTATCAGCTCAGACCACCATGTACTCTTTTCTGGTACAGTAATCACTACTCAAAGAAATTTTAGCAGAACAACTTTTAGTAAAAACCATTATAATTTGTATTATTATGTTAAAATGACAAGCATGTTTTACTAGCTACTATAAATATTTGTTTGAGCTTGTTTTAGTTAAGTAATAAATGACATAGCTGTGGTTCTCAGATAAGTATTGATGAATAAAATAGATATAAAAATGAAGATAACAAATAGATTAGTTAGCTGAAAGTAGGCCAAAGAAAGGGAAGGAGAAAGAGAGAAGAAAGTAAGAGAGATTAAAACTAAAACTTTAGGGATTAAAAAAAAATTCCAAACTACATAAATTCCTATGGTAAAAGGCAATTATGACAACAGTTTTTATTCAACTCCACTGCCATTAACTTGGAAGAAGCCAAAATTCTTTCAGTAGGTTAGAGAATAAGTAAACTTCGGTACATCCAGACAATATAGTGTTTTTCAGTGCTAAAAAGGAATGAGCTATGAAGTCATGAAAAAGACATGGAAAAAACTGAAGTACAAATTTAAGTGAAAGAAGCCAGTCTGAACAGGTACTGTATGATTCTAATAATATGACGTGCTGGAAAAGGCAAAACTAGGGAGACAGTGAAAGATCAGTGGCTACCAGCAGTTGGGGGTGGGGGGAAGAGGAAAAGCACAGGATTTTTAGGACAGTGAAACTATTCTGTTTGATGCTACAATGATGGATACGTATAACTGCACATTCGTCAAAACCCGCAGAATGTACAATACAGAGTGGACTCTAATGCAAATATGGACTGTAGGTGATGGCATGTCAATGTTAAGATTCATCAATTGTAAAAATGTATCACTCTGCTGCAGGATGTTTATAGTGGGGCAGTCTGTGTATAGAGGGGAACAGGGAATATGGAGAATTCTCTGTAGTTTCTGCTCAATTTTGTCATGAACCTAAAACTGCTCTAAAAAGTGAAGTTTTATTAAAAAAAAAAAAGAAACTTAAAAAAGAAAAAAAGAAGAAAAAGAACTTGCTGCTGATCAGTGGCTCTCAACTATAATCTAATATTAATATTTATCATTTTCCCCAAATTCAAAAATACTGTAGATGTAAATACTAATTATTTATCTACTTAACACTTAACTGCTTATGTTTTCTCAAAAGCAAAATTTTAAAATGACAAAAGATAAGAGATACAAAAACAGTTTTTTCATTAAAACAATTATGTAGGGCAGCCGGGGTGGCTGAGCAGTTTAACACCGCCCTGGGTGTGATCCTGGAGACCCAGAATCGAGTCCCATGTCAGGCTCCCTGCATGGAGCCTGCTTCTCCCTCTGCCGGTGTCTCTGCCTCTCTCTCTGTGTCTGTCATGAAGAAATAAAATCTTAAAAAATAATAAAACAATTATGTAGCTTTACTTTTACCTTAACTTATTGCTTAATTTTGTCAAGAATTAAAGTATTCTTAACCAAAATTTAAGGACTATCAGATAGAAAAGGCTCAGAGATGTAATTAAAACCATGGACATTTATTATAAATCAATTATTTTGACATTTCACAATCAGAAAGCAGTAGTGTGGTAAAACAGTGTGAACTTGAACTCTTTAGAACACCTGATCTGACACTTGTTAACAATATGTGGGCAAGTTACCTAACCACTGTTTTCTCATCTGTAAAACCTAATAAATGGAAAGCACATGAAAATGCTACACTTAAAAAAGGTCAAAAATATAATATCAACTGAAAATTCTGAATCACATTTAACTTCTTTTATCATCAAAAGTTAAGATACATTTTCTTCAGTCTTAGGAATCTCTAGTCTTAATATAAAGTAAATTATCACATCTTACAAATTTTATATTTATAGCTGGATGTTTCTTCAATCATCACTGTCACTTCCTGATTCACTCAGCTGCAAATCATTTCCTAAAATAAAAAAATAGTAGAACTGTAGCAATTATTTAATATTTTCATATTTACCATACTTATTTTTGGATAACATAAATATCATGCAAAATATAATACCAACAGTGATTCCGTTTGAACCACCATTTTGTAATGACAAAATAATTAGATTGCTTGTCCTATAATTTAGTCACATCATTAATAATTCCAAAAATTAATACTGCTCATAAAAACATACATCATCAATCTTCAGCATAGTTTTAGTATCATCTGGCAACTATGTCAGTCTTTTTTAACACCACCTTTCTTTGTTACTCCTACTGATTAAATTATATCAGGTGATGAGTAAAATGCGGTTTAGAAGATCAGCCTAAATCATTTTGAAGAATAAAAAAAAAAACCTACTTAAAACTAATTCATACTTAAAATTCAGTCAAAATATTAAATAATATATGTTAAGAGTAACTCATCATTGGTTCTTTTTGTAATTCATTGATGTGCTTACAGACATGGAACTTATATTCCAGTGGAGGGAGATAGATAGTAAATAAACAAATATATAATATGATGCCAAACAGGGATAAATACTATGAAAAAATGAAGGTGGGTATGGGAAGAGTGATGAGAGGTGCTATTCTAGATAGGATAGTTGGGAAGGCTTCCTTGAAGGATGACATTTGAACAGAGATCCAAATGTAGAAAGTTATGAAAATGTGGATGGAAGGCAGGTACTGTCCAGGCTCAGGGAACAGCAAATACAAATGCCCCAAGGCAGAAGCATGCTTGCTGTGTTCTCTGACTGTAGGAAGGCCCTGAGGCTTGAGTGGAATGAATGAGGAAGAGATGATAAGAAATGAGGTCAGAAAGATATCCAGAAGACCATGATTTCTAGGTTATCATAAAAACTTTGGATTTTGTTTGATATGTAATGGGAATTCATCAGAAAATTTTAAGCAAGCAACTGACTTGAAATGTTTTACAGTGAAAAAAAAATATATATATATATATATATGCACACACTCTGTGATATACTATAATTGTATTCCAGCTTCTCACATAAGAAATAATACTGGCTTTTCCTCAGGTGGCTCGGAGAGGTAGTGCTAAGCAGTTGGGATTATAATATAATGATAGAACTTCCAGGATTATCAAAAGTACTGAATTTAGGGTATGAGAGAAAGAAAAGTGAAGAAAGACCCCCAGCATTTCTGATCTAAATAACTGGATGGTGGTATCATTTACTGATATAAGAAATACCAGTGGAACAAGATTGTGTGAGAAAAATCACAAGTTCAATTTTCAGCATGACACATTTAAGACACACAGTAAATATTCAAGTAAATATATTATAGGCAATTGGATATATAAGTCTGGAGCTCAAAGTAGAGGTTACTCCTAGAAATAAAGATTTGGGAGTCACCAACTGCAGGGGTTTATTTGAAGATATGGGATTGGATAATATCATTTGAATAGTAAATTAGAATGGTTAAAAACATTCTTGTATTTTTGAACTACTCCAAAATCAACAAAAAGTGGCATAATTTGAAGCTAATTCCCAATTTAAGAGGAGTAGTTTCTGGCCATAAATAAGTTGTGGTAAGAGAGCTCAGGCCACTGGATGAACTCCAGAACTATTACATTATTTGATAAAGAAATCTGCTAAAGCTTCTTTTGTGTATCTGGTTCCCATGACCATTTTATACTTTTCAAGGATTAAGTTTCTATTTATTACACAACTGTTCAATGCCATAAGAATGTTCAACTTGGCATGATACCCATAATCTGAGTTTCTTAGGTCAAACCCGAATGTCCTAAGTTCCACTTTTGTTAACAGACTTCATGCTGTACAGGTTATATGCATGGTATTATCATGCTGTTGACATGTTTGGTTGATTTTTAATTTATCAGGTTAGCCTGTGACCATGACATGCTACTAAAGGAAACATTTCCAATCAAAATGGAATAAACAGTTAACCCATAGCAAATGCACTCAGACTCTTAAGCCAAAGGTTCTCTCTTTTTTTTTTTTTTTAATTTATGATAGTCACACACACAGAGAGAGAGAGAGAGAGAGAGGCAGAGACATAGGCAGAGGGAGAAGCAGGCTCCATGCACCGGGAGCCCGACGTGGTATTCGATCCCGGGTCTCCAGGATCGCGCCCTGGGCCAAAGGCAGGCGCCGAACCGCTGCGCCACCCAGGGATCCCTAGCCAAAGGTTCTCAGTGAGAAAAATAGTGTTCCTGCAGAGATGTTACAGAAATTTATGTGAAATGTTACTTGTGGGATCCCTGGGTGGCACAGCGGTTTGGCGCCTGCCTTTGGCCCAGGGCACGATCCTGGAGACCCGGGATCGAATCCCACATCGGGCTCCCGGTGCATGGAGCCTGCTTCTCCCTCTGCCTATGTCTCTGCCTCTCTCTCTCTCTGTGTGTGTGTGTGTGTAACTATCATAAATAAATAAAAAAATTAAAAAAAAAAAGAAATGTTACTTGTCCAAATAATTTGCAGATTGCTAGTGGCAGTTAGTAGAAGGGGAATTTAGGAAAGGTAAATGTATTACAATGCAGGGACCAGTCTTGCACAATAAAGAACTCCACTATGTTCTGCAAAACTTTTGAAAGTCCAGTGGTATATTCATTTACTTAGAAGGCCTGTTTGTAAACTACTCTTTTGCATAGATTTAAAATTCACTGAAACTTACAAGGATGGAACTATCATGTAAACTGAAAGAAGACTTTATTTTCCCAGAACTTTACAAAGGTTTTCTTTATTTAATTGTTTTGGAAAACATATTAGTGATACTGATGCTTTTCTAATTCTTAATTCAACAAATTAAATAAAAAGAAAAATTGTTAATATTATGAGTGGTATGTTATCTTGCTTAATTCTAAATTGAGTCATTAAAGATTTCAAGCTATACTATGAAGCTGTAGTAATCAAAACAGTATGGTAGTGGTTCAAAAATAAACATATATATCAATGGAATATAGTAGATGGCTCAGAAATAAACCCATGTTTATATAGTTGATTAATCTATGACAAAGGAGGTAAGAATGTATAATAAATGGTGTTGGGAAAATTGGACAAATATATGCGAAAGAATGAAACTGGACCACTGTCTAACATCATGCACAAAAATAAACTTAAGATGGATTAAGACCTAAATGTGAGGCCTAAAACCATACAAATCCTAGAAGAGAGCATAGAAGCAATTTCTTTGACATCAGTCATTGCAACATTTTTCTAGATATGTCTCTTAAGACAAGCAAAACAAAAGCAAAAATAAACTATTGGGACTACAACAAAATAAAAAGATTTTTCACGATGAAGGACCCATCAACAAAACAAAAAGACAATCTACTGAATGGGAGAAAATATTTGCAAATAGTATATTCAATAAGGGGTTAATATCTAAAATATATAAAGAATTTATATGATTTATTATCAAAAACCAAACAATCAGATAAAAAAGTGGGCAGAGCCAGTAGAGGTAGGAGCCACTTACACCAAAACCTGCTTCCCTGTGCCTAGCAAGTGCATATGTAGTGAAGCAGGACTGATTATGAGCCAGTAGAGTAGGCCTCTCCCCCTGAAGACCAGCACAGCCAACACCCCACATGCATCAAGTCTACTGATTAGACAGTGCTTCAAAGCATCATCTTCAGTTCTGGTATTAATAGGACCAGGCTGTAGCTTTTTTCTTCTTTTTTCTTTTCCCCTTTGGAATCAGGCTTATGGTTTTTTGTTAGTTTTATTTCATTTCTTTCCTCTCTCTCTTTTTTTTTGGATCAGGTTTCTTTTTCACTTTTCTTGTTCTTCCCTCTCCTTTCTTTTCCTTTGGAATCAGGCTTATAGTTTCTTGGTTGTCTGTTTGGGGGTTTTTTTGGTCCTTTTCCTTTTCTTTGTTTTTGAATCAGGGATTCTTTTTAAGTTTTTTCTCTTTCTTTTTTTTTTCCCCCAGGCTTATTTTAACAAACAAAGCACACCCAGTTAAAGCTCCAAACACTCCCCACTGCAAACAAGAAGGAACTCTGCAGAGGGCTGACCAGTGCGAAAGAGCAGCCAAAGCACAACAGCAGAGCACACAGCATATACCAGAAACACTTCCTGAAGTACCAGGCCCTGGACAGTCTATGAGTCCTTTTTAATACAGCATTACTCGCAGGTACAGAAAACATAACAAACTTTTATAACATGCAAAAGACAGAAACTTAGCCAAAATGACAAGATGGAAGAATTCTCCCCAAAAGAAAGGTCAGGAAGGTATCACATACAGCCTGGGACTTGCTCAAGGCAGATTTAAGCAATGTATCTGAACAAGAATTTAAATCAAGAGTTGTAAGATTACTAGCTGGACTTGAAAAATGCATAAAAGACACCAGAGAGACCCTGCTGCACAGATAAAAGGACCTAAGACAAATCAAGCTGAAATTAAAAATGTTATAACTGAGATACAAAACAGGCTATATGTAATTACAACAAGGATGGAAGAAACAGAGGAATGACTAGATGATATAAAAAATAAAACTAAGGAAATAATAAAGCTGAAAAAGAAGAAGAAAATAAAACCATTAGATCATGAAGGTAGACTTAGGGAACTCAGCAATTCCATAAAGCCAAATAATATCTATATCATAGGAATCCCAGAAGAGCAGGAAAAAAGGGCAAAAGGTTTATTTGAACAGATTATAGCTGAGAACTAATCTGAGGAAGGAAACAAGCATTTTGGTCCAAGAGACACAGAGAATTCCCTCAAAAATAAAAAAAAACAAGTTAACACCACAACCTATCTAGTGAAACTTGTAAAATACAAAGATAAAAACATAATTCTGAAAACACCTCAAGAAAGTCCTGGGATGCCTGGGTGGCTCAGTGGTTGAGCATCTGCCTTTGGCTCAGGGTGAGATCTTGGATTCCCAGGATTGAGTCCCGTGTTGGGCTCCTTGCATGGAGCCTGCTTCTCCTCCCTCTGCCTGTGTCTCTGCCTCTCTTTCTGTGTCGCTCATGAATAAATAAATAA